CAGAGATATAGCCGAAAGGTTTTCGTGATGACGTTGGGCCCGAACTTCGTCTCTGCTGTTTCTGCCTGCAGCTGCAGGGTGCTACTGCCCGCGGAATGTTTCTGCTGCTGCTGCTGATGATGCTGCTTACTTTTGCTGTGTTGCCGCTGCCTGCTGCGGACTGCTGCTGCTCGCTGTTGCTTCTTGAGGCTGCGGAGTGCTGCTTCTTGGTCCTCTTACTAGGTGACGCAACCTGCAGCTCGTCAGTGGAGCGAGGAGCGAGGAGCAATGAGCGAGGAGTGGGGGAGGTGGGGGAAGCGAGGAGCGATCAGCGGTGATCACGGAGCGAGAAGGAAGGAGTGACGGCCGAGAAGGGAGAGAGGCGATGAGAGAGACGAGGGAGAGCCAACGAGGAGGGTGGAGGCAGGCGCCAGGGGCCAGGAGAAAGGTGGAAGAAGCGATGGGGGTGTGAGAAGAGAGGAGCCAGGCGCGAGGAGATGGAGGCGAGGTGCGAGTAGAGAGCGGGGAGAAACGAGGAGCGTGGAGCGAGAGAGGATTCATGAGAAGAGGCCAGCACACGCATGTCTCAATGGCCTCGGCGCGCCATCCTCTTGGGTCGCTCATGGGGCTCTCTTGGGTGGCCAGCGCGATCACAGAGCTCCCTAAGGGATCTTCCATCGGAAAGCTCTTCTAGTCGGTTTTTGGGTTGTCTCGGGGCCTCTCGGGGTCCCCTTGGGGCCTGATTTGGGCGTCTTGGGGGCCTCCTGGAGCTTCTGGGGGGACCTCTTTGGGGAAAGCTTGCGGTCTCGGGGGTCATCTTGGGGCGGAGTGTGCAAAATGTCGATTCGATTTCTTCATCTTGGGGCTTCCTTTGGCTGTTTCGGATGTTTTTTGGGCCGTCTTGGGGCCTCTTGGGCCGTCTGGGGGCCCTCTTGGGAGCATGTTGGCCCGTCTTCGGGCGATATTGGGGGCGTCTCGGGCCGTCTTGGAGCGTCGGAATCCCGAAAAGGCGAGGCTGCCCAAACCCTTACACAAACCAGCGGAACATCGATTTGTTGGGCATCTTTTGGCCTTCTTGGAGCCCTCATGGGCCGCCTTGGGCGCTACTTGGGCTGTCTTATGACCGTCTGGGGCTCACTGGGGCGCCTTTTCAGTTGTCTTTGGGCTCCGCTGGGGCGTAGAAGGGGTGTGGCCCGCAGGGCTGTCGGAGCTGCCCTGGGAGCGCTTTTCGGCCTCTTGGAAGGAAAAAGAGGCACTTGATCCAAAGGCCCTTCGGGCACGCAGAGATTCCGGTATTGTAAAGAAGAACGCTGGTGTGTACCCGTGGAGCAGATCCACAGGTGCCCTGACAGGGGAACGCGGCGGGGCCATCTCTGAGACATCTTGGGTCGTCTTGGGCGCCACTTGGCCTGTCTTTTTGTGACTTTTCCTGAGCTGTCTTGCAACTCTCGTGGGCCGTCTTGCAATCTTGCAGGAAGTTCTGGGAGCACACGGAGGACCTCGACAATTGCCCCAAGATGGACTTGAGAGTGCCCGAAGACGGTCCCAAGAGGGCCCCTAGAAAACACCCGACGGATGCTACAACAGGGGGGTACGTTGTAGCATCTGTTGGGGGGCATCTTCGAGCTCACTGGGAGCGCTCTTAGGGCCGTCCTGGGATGCACCTGAGGCTCTAGTGGGCCATCTCTGGGCCATCTTGGGTCGCCGTGTGCACCTCTTGGGCTGTTTCGGGGCTCTCTTGGGCCGAACTGCCTTGGGATTCTCTTGGGGGCCTCTTGGGCTGGCTTTGGATGATCTTGGGGGCTGTTGGGCCGTCGTGCTGCAAGGGCCCAACATTCATATGTAAAATATGTTAGAATAAAACCTACAACATATTTGATGTTTGCACCGTGAGGCCCTGCTGGGAGTGCTCTTGGAGTGCTCTGGGGACCTTTTGTGCGGATTTTCGCCCGTCTTGGGCTATCGTGGGGCCCTCTGAGGCTGCCTGAACGCCATCTTGGGCCATCTTGAGATCATCCTCGGCCGTATTGGAAACATCTTCGGCAAACTTGGAGGCCTCTCAGATTCGCTTGGGCCGTCTGGGAGGCGCAGGCTCTCTGGCCCTCCCAGCGGCCCCCACCGGCTTTGGGACGATCGGCACCTTTCACGAGCTGCTCCCGGTATTGCATGAGAGAGTAAGGCTGACCCATGGATTACGTCCACGAAATCTGCACGAAAGGCGTGTACTGGTGGGCATCCTGCCGAAAGGCTGACATGATGACGTGGGGCTCGAACTTCGTATTCCGCGCATGCTACTGCGTGCTGCTGTTTGCTGCCGCTGCGGCGTGCTGTTCGTAATGCTTACTTACCGCTGCTGCGCGCTGTTGCTGCTTGTAGCTGCAAGGTGAGGCTGATGTTGGGTCGGACGTGCCGCCTTGTAAAACGTTTGTAAATTTGGAAGCCCTCTGGGGTGTCTCGGGGGCTCACGATCGGGCGGCCTTGAAGTTTGCAGAAATTGTCCGGGATCGCTGGGGAAGCTCGCAGGGCGCTCCCTGGGGGGCCCAAGAAGGCTCCAAGAGGGCATGACATTTCACAATACTTTGACAAAAACCGCTGTTGTGTCGGACGTGCCGTCTGGTTGGATTTTTGCGGAACTGGAGGCCCTCGGGGGCCCCTCTGGGGCTCCTGATTGGGCAGTCGGGAGGCTTGGGTTCTGGGATCGCCGTGGAGGCTCGCATGGCGCTCCCATTGGAGCCCAGGAAAGCTCCAAGAGGGCTTCACATTGAACAAGAATGCAACAAGAAACCCTGCTAGGTTGGGTGGCTGTTTTGTTCACCAATCAAGCTTGCCTGAGGGGTTCTTACTTGGTTAAGGTTGGTGCCTCCTATTGGTACTGTGCCTGTTCCTCAAAGGTTCCTCGGGTTTCCCGCCCCCGGTGCCTCCTATTGTTACGTTGCCCGTTCCTCGGATGTTCCTCCGGGTCCCCATGGTTCCTCGGGTTTCCCGCCCCCGGTGCCTCGCATTCTTAGCAATGCCCAATGCTAAGCAATGTCACGCAATGCCAAGCAATGCGACGCAATGCGACGCTATGCCAAGCGATGCCAAGCGATGCCAAGAAATGCCAAGCAATGCCGAGCAATGCCGAGCACTGCGTCCATGCACGAGGACGCTTCCCCTAATTGGGGTCGCGCCGGGTTCATTGGTTTTCTGTTGAAAGCGAAGCTCTCTGGGGCGTGTCAGGAGCGTCGGCCCTTCTCTCTTGGAGGCAGTTTTTTTAGCCTCTTGGAGCTTGTTGGGGGCTGGTTGAGGGCCTCTTAGGTCCTCTTGTGGGCCTCTTCGGAACCTTTTGGGGCCCTGTTGGGTCGCCTGGGCTCTTCTCGGGCTGTTTTGGGGCCGTCTTGGGCGCCTCTCGGGCCATCTTGGGCCCGTCTTGGGCCTCCCTTCAGGCCCTTGTGGGGTCCTCTGGCTCTGGGGTCGTCCTGGGGCCGTCTTGGGGGCCTCTGGGGCTGTCTTGGGGCAGTCTTTGAAGTCCGCCAGGGGCGTCTCGGACGCTGCGAAAACGAAAACGCAACATCCTGGAGCTGTCGGGGGCGTCTCGGACGCTGTTGAAACGAAAACGCAACCTCCGAGCCCCTGGCCTTCCATCGGCGGCGCGCCGGGGGGGGGGGAGCGAGAAGGGGCGCGCCGTGTCAGAGGGCTCGGAAGTCCCCCTCGGCCTGCTGGGAAGTTTCCTGAGCCTTCCCCGAAGACGCAGAACACTGCTCGGACGGCCGGGGGGCTTCTGAGAAGTCCCGCCGCCTGCTGAGAAGGCCTTCTCCTTCTCACTTCCCCCCCTCGCTTTCCGCCGACTCCAAAGTGCTGATAAATGACACTCCAGACCTGTAGACCTATCCAGACTGCCTAAAACCTTTGGAATTTGGGGATCGAGGTCCTGGTGCCAATTCTGGGCCCTCCTGGAAGATCAGGGGGAAGAAGGCAGGATGCCACAGGAGGCTTGGGAAGGCTCGAGGGGGCTTCTGGAGGCAGCACAGGAGGCGCCAAGAGGCCCCAGGGGGCAGGATGCCTCGGGAGGCTCTGGGAGGCCCAGGGCTCCCGGGAGTGAAACGGCGAAGGAAACATATGACTGCCCCCCTCCCCCTCCCCCCCCCCAGGCCTTCCAAGAGGGCCAACACAGTAGCACCAGGACCTTGATATCGAACTTCCAGTCGAGGTCTTGAGCAGTCCTGATGCGCCTGCAGGTTTGGAGTGCTATTTTGTAGTACTCTGGAAGGTCAGGGCCCTTCCCCCCCCCCTCCCTCCTGGGGCCCCAAACAACGTTTCAGGCGCCCCTCTAGGCCCATGAAGTCGCGAACGCTTCGCCTGGGACTCCTGGAGCCTCCGAGGGGCCCCAGGGTGGCCCCCGAGGGCCCAATCACAGCGGCCAGATACTCCCGGAGAGCGTCGTGCCGGCCCAGGGAAGAAGCACCGCGACGGCTCAAGAGGGGTACGAGGCCAACAACAGGGCCCACGAGTGCTCCCAGAGGACCGTCGAAGGGCCCCAAGAGGCACACGTCGCCCCACCCCCTAAGGAAAACGCACATTTTTAGCATACTCGCCTTCTTTATCTTGACAGCGTCCAAAACGGTCCAAGGGCCCCCCAAAAACGTTCCGAGACTGCCCATGATGTCCCCAAGAGGCCCCAAATCGACCCAACAGGGACCCCCAACGGCCCCAGGGGCTCCCAAGACGGCCCCAAAGAGCACCAAGAGGGCCCGAAGAGGGGTCCGAGAGAGGGGGAATACGCATTGACATTCCGAGCCTCTGGCTCAAAAAGCCCCTGGCTTCTTACGGGCATCTGGGGACAATCTTGGAGCCTTTGGGGCGACGTCTCGGGGCTCTCCTGAGCTCACTCGAGGCCCTCGTGCAGGTTAAGTTCGGCTGTCCTGGAGGCGCCTTTAGAGCCGCTTGGGGCGCCCTCGAAGCGTCTTGGGCCGGCATCGGGAGCCAGACGGCGAGCCCTGGTTTTGTGACTCACGCGAGCTTCGTTCAAAATCGTAGTACACATGACGTTGGGCTTCGACCTCACCTCCCGCATCTCGCCGAGCAGCGCCAAAGCCCGCTGCCACTGCTCGGCATTCTCGCACGCGTTGATACCAGCGTTGTAGCTGAACCAGTGCGTACCTGTGGTGTGGATCCTCGCGGTCAAAGAACCTGCGGGGTGTGCTTGTGAGGTGTCACAAACACAAGCAGGGCCCCAATGGGCCCGAAACATATCTCTGGTCCGTCACTTTGAGCAGCCTTCGAAGTGACAGCTCCCAGGGCCGTCGTGGGCCCCTCTAGGGGCCCTGTAAGTTTCTCTCGTGGCTATTTGGGGCACTCCAGAGCAGCCCAACCAAATCCTTGAGGTCTCCTGGTGAGGGCCTCAGAATGCCCCGAAGGGGCTCTTGATCCGCCGCTTTGAGCAGCCTTCACAGTGACAGCTCCCAGGGCCGTTGTGGGCCCCTCTTGGGGCTCTTTGGGGCCTCTCCTGGCTTCCCATGATGAACGTTTTCTTATTCGGAGTTTCGACATTGGGCGGAAGGGGGGGAAGGGGTGGTGGGGGGTTCTGGCTCCGGACCTCTGCTCAACTGCGACTCTTTGCAACAGTGCGTCCTGTGGGGGGGGAGACTCCCACCTGCTTGAGACTGGCGTCCAAAGACATCCCAAATCTATTCCATCGGGGGGGGGGAGGGGATGCGAGGGCCCGCGCCGATCGGCGAAACCATGTCTGAGACAACGGTCACGTGCGGATGTGGCCCCACTGGCCGCCCTCTTGGGGCCCTCGGGGGCCGTCTTGGAGCCGTCTCGGGCTGCTGAGCGGGCTCTCCTCGGCGGTCTGGGGCCTCCCCCTCGGGGTGGGGGGGCGTCTTGGGGCCCCTGTGGGGCGCTCTGGGGGGCCCCCTGGCAGAGGTGGGCTGCCCGGAGCCCCAGGAGGCGAAAGCGTGAAGATCAGTGGCAAAACCCAGAGATGATCTATGAATTGTGCTTCTGGGCGCCGTCCTGGGCTCCCTCTGGAGACTGTCTGAGGGCGTCGTGGAGCCTCGTGGGCCGCGTTGGGGCCATCCTGCGCGGTCGCGGAACGCGCTTTTTGGACCGCCTCGCGCGGTGTTGGACCGACTGGGGCCGCTCTGGAGGCCACCATGGCGGCTCGGAGGGCCTAGTTCATTGCCACCAGATTTGATTTTCTCGCTCACTGGCTGCGGCATTGCAGTATAAACATTTTGGAACGTGCTGGGGCGTCTTGGCCCGACTTGGACTCGTTCTGGAGGCTGCCTCGATCAGCCTGGAGCCCCGCGGAGCCATCTGAGGTCGTCTGGGGCGGTCTGGGCCCGTCGAAGCCCTTGGCGACGACCAAGGGGGCCTTGCCACCCGGAGGCAGCCTCGAACGCTCTGATCTTAGCACTGTGGTGGAGATTACGTCGGGCTTCAGCTTCACCTCTGACATCTCGCTCAGCAGCGCCAAGGCCCACTGCCACTGCCCTCCATTAGCGCACGTGCTGATCCCAGCGTTGTAGCTGAGTAAGGCTAACCCTGGATCTGTCCACGAAAGCTTGCTTCCATGCAAGAGCGTTTACTGTTGGCCTTCTTGCGTGTTGCCCTTTCTTGCATTGCTGCTAGCCTGCCTGCCTGACAGATTTCTGCTTGCATGCTGGCCCGCCTGACTTGTGTGTTGCTTGCTTGGCGCGTTGGTTTCTCGTCCGCTCGATGCCGCTTACTGGCGCTGGCTTCTACTTGCTGGTACTTGCTGCTTCTTTCTGCTACTGCCTGCCGCTCGCTGGTGCGTTCCACTGCGTGTTGGTGCTGCTTGGCAGCGGTGCAGGCTTCGCTGCTACGCTTGCTGACGCTGCCTGCTGCTTCTGATGGCTGCTGCTGCATGCTGCTGCGCTGCCTGCTACCAACTGCTAGCTGCTCATGACTGCTGCTTCTGGCTTTGGTGCCGCTGGACCTGGGGGCCGCAGTGGGACTGTCGTGGGGCCGTCTGGAGCAGCGTTTTGGGGGGAAGATCGGGGAGCCCTCGGGGCGCAGTGCTCGGAGGAGGAATATCTATCTATCTAGCTATCTATAGATATGTGTAAATACTTCTATCGCTATGTATATATATATATATAGAGATGTGTGTATACATATACACTTACAACTGATATGCACGATACATATACACAATCTACATACACTACATATATACGGGTGCCCGATATCCTTCCCTCGTCGCCACGCTTGGATTCGCCTTGAAATTCTGGTCAGAACGCATCCTGGAAAGGCACGGGGAGTAGCAGCATCGCTACCTGTCTCTCACTCTGGGAGGAGGCTCCCCGACCGAGATCAAAGCAGCGGCCCCGGCGGCGGGTGGACGGATCGGAATTCTAATAGAATTATTAAGGGATCATTTTTGCAGCGGGATGCTGATGAATGCTGGGTGCTGCGTTGGAGAAGGAGGCTGTTGAGTACCCGGTGTTGTGTTGGAGACGGACGCTGTTGAATACTGGGTGCTATGTCTCACACCGAGGCGTGGCGGGCGGGCGGCGAGCGGCGGGCAGCCGGCGGGCGGGCGGGCGGGCGGATCGGGATTTTGATAGAACTCCTAAGGATTTCTCTTGCAGCGCGATGATGTTGAGTACTGAGTGTTGTGTTGGAGACGGAGGCTGGTGAGTACTGGGTGTTGCGTTGGAGACGGATGCTGTTGAGTAGCGGGTGTTGTGCTGAGCACGGAGGCATGGCGGGCGGTCGGCGGGCGGGCGGCGGGCGGATCGGGATTTTGATAGAACACCTCAGGATTCTCTCGTGCCGCGGGATGCTGTCAAATAATGTGTGTTGTGGTTGGAGACGGAAGCTGTTGAATACCCGGTGCTGTTTTGAAGACGGATGCTGTCCATTTCCGGATGTTGTGTTGAACACGGAAGCACGGCGGGCGGGCGGCGGGCGGGCGGATCGTGATTCGAATAGAGCTCCTAAGGATTCTCTCTTGCAGCGGGATGATGATGTCGAATACTGAATGCTGCGTTAGGGACGGAGGCTGTTCAGTACCAGGTGTTGTGTTGAAGACGTATGCTATTGAGTGCTGGGTGTTGTCTTGATGACGGAAGCACGGCGGGCGGGCGGCGGGCTGCTGACGGGCGGGCGGATCGGGATTTTAATAGAGCTCCTAAGGATTCTCACTTGCAGCGGGATGCTGTTGAGCATTGAGGGTTGTGTCTGAGACGGAGGCTGTTGAGTACTTGGCGTTGTGATGGAGACGTATGCTATTGAGTACTGGGTGTTGTGTTGAACACGGAAGCGCGGGGGGCGGGCAGCGGGCGGGCGGCGGGCGGGCGGATCGTAATTTAAAGAAGGACTTCTAAGGATTCTCACTTGCAGAGGGATGCTGTTGAGTACTGAGGGTTGCGTCTGAGACGGAGGCTGTTGAGTACTGGGCGTTATGTTGGAGACGGAGGCAGTGGAGTACTGGGTGTTGTGTTGAACACGGCAGCGCGGGGGGCGGGCAGCGGAGGGCGGGCGGATCGGGATTTCAATAGAACTCCTAAGGATTCTCTCTTGCAGCGCGATGCTGTTGAATACTGTGTGTTGTGTTGAAGACGAAGGCTGTTGAGTACCAGGTATTGTCTTGGAGACGGATGCTGTTCAATACCGGGTGTTTGGCTGAATACGGAAGCACGGCGGGCGGGCGGCGGGCGGGCGCATCGGGATTCTAGTAGAACTCCTAAGATTCTCTCTTGCAGCGGGACTCTGTTGAGTACTCAGTGTTGTGTTGGACACGGAGGCTGTGGAGTATTGGGTGTTGTGTCGGAGACGTCTGCTGGTGAGTGCTGGGTGTTGCGTTGACCGCGGAACCACGGCGTGGCGGCCAACAGGCGAACGGGCGGACGGCGGGCAGCGGGCGGGCGGGCAGCGGGATTTCACTCGAATTCCTGAGGATTCTCTCCTGCAGCGCGATGCTGTTGAGTACTGGGTGTTGTGTTGACGACGAACGCTGTTGAGTACCAAGTGTTGTGTTGGAGACGCATGCTGTTCAGTACCGGGTGTTGTGTTGAACACGGAAGCTTGGCGGGCGGGCGGCGGGCGGCGTGGCCCCCAAGAGGCGCAAGGAAGCTCCCAAGAGGCCTCCAAGAGGCTCCCGGGAAGTCCCCAGGAGGTCCCAGGAATGATCCAAGAAGCTCCCAAGAGATCTCCTCCTCCTCCTTCTCGTCGTCCTCCTCCTCCCCCTCCCCTTCCACCTCCTCCTCCTCCTCCTCCGCTTCCTCCTCCTCTTCCTCCTCCTCCTCCCTTCCCTCCTCCTCCTCCTCCTCCCTCTCCTCATCCTCCTTCCTCCCCCACAAGTTCCCCGAAGGGTTTCGACAACGGCTCGGGGATCACATGGTCCAACAACTTGGCCAAACTTTGCCCAGACGCCTGGCCACATAGGCGTATCCTCAAAGGCGCGGCGCAGCGTGGATTCGCCGCAGGCGTCTGCGAGCCGCTGCCCCCTGTGGCTTGCCACGGAGTGCTTGGCGTGCCAGACTCTACGTGCTCTCGGGTTCGCTAAAACATTCCCAGTGGGCCTTCGGCCGATCCCGACGGCCATCCGGGAAGACCCACGACGTCGCCGAACTTACGTGCCCCCTTGCCCAAATCGCCTCCAAGAGGGCCAAGATGGCTCAAGACGGCCTCCAATCGTGATCCGAAACGGCCAAGATGGCCCCGAGAGAACCCAAGATGACCACACGATGCCTCGAAGACGGCCCAAGATGCGCTTAAGACGACCCAAATGGCCTTAAGCCAAGCCAAGGGGCCTCCAAGAGGCCTCCAGCAATGCCCAAGAGGCCGGCCAGGTTCCTGGCGGAAGCCCACCAACCCCCGTAGCCTCCCCAAGAACCCCTCTTGAGGGTGGGTTCTCAAGGGGACCTCCCCCCCCAACCCTTCCAAAAACACCCCTTGGAGGGGGAAAACCCACTAACCCCCCTACCCCCCTAAAACAAAAACCCTCCTTGAGGGGAGGTTTCCCGGGGGGAACCCGCAAACCCCCCAAACCCCCCAAGAACCCCTCCTTGGGGGGGGGTCCTCGGGGGAAGACCCACCAAC